CATGTTAGCTCCCTCACAGTGGCAAATCTGTAATCCCACAGAACCTCGTTCTCTAATCTTAAAGGGAAGATGATAGCATCATACCTACCTAACCAAATTATTGTGAGGAGCAAATGTCATTGTTAAGAAAGCACATTGTAAGCAAATAATAATTGCTCTACACAAATATTCACAATCATCATGTTACTTTTTAATATCCTTTTCAACTTCTGCAAAGTTTTTGAGTCAGTTCATTACTATTATCCTAAGCAAAATTTGGACAGCACATTTAGAAACCAAGAAAAATTTGCCAGGAAGAAAAAAATAGGGCTGTGAAATTCAGGGGAGATGTCATTGCCTACAGACTCTCATTCAAACTTTGGAAATGAAAACATATAAGGCAGGATGGGGAGAATGGAGAGAGGGAAGTGTAGGGATTGCTATCCTGAGACTGTCCTCACTGTTTTTCAGTAAGGTGTAAGCCAAGCACAGACCCTGGGAATGGACGAGGGTGCATGCAAGTGCCTTAAAGTATTACAGTGAAACCCAGTAAAAAAGGAGGTAGAGATTCTCTCAAAATTCCTGTAAAAACTTCTAATGGATGACTAATAGTTGGATCTTTATAGCTGAAGGATAACAATAATGTTATTATGATGTTTTAAAAACAGGGCCAAGCTCGAATTCTTATGACTCTTTACAAAACATAGTGGACTATATCCAAAAGATGATCAGTTCGAAATATTTGGGTGTATGTACTTAACAAATCGTTATTGCTTCTATTGTTGAATTCCTGCTTTTGCTTTTAAAATACTTGACTATCTGGATAAACATTTCCTTAAGTTTTGTAGGGTTTTTTGTTTTGTTTTGTTGGGGTTTTTTTTTGCACAGATCCATAAGCTTTTTGTCTCTTTAAAAAATATTTGAGGGACACCTGGGTGGCTCAGCGGTTGAGCCTCTGCCTTTGGCTCAGGGTGGCTCCTGGAGTCCCGGGATCGAGTCCCACATCGGGCTCCCTGCATGGAGCCTGCTTCTCCCTCTGCCTGTGTCTCTGCCTCTCTGTCTCAGTCTCTCTATCTCTATCTCCCCTACCCCGTGTGTCTCTCATGAATAAATAAATAAAATATTTAAAAAATGTATATAGTTGAAAGACTGAGTAGGTGGACTTTTAATGGAGTGTTGGAGGGAGCACTCTAAAGGGATCTACTCTAGACTACCAGAAAGAACTGTGTGATTTGGACTAAACATGTTAAACCCTTTGTGCCTCAGTTTCCACACCTGTGAAATGAGCATATTAGGCCATCTTCCAAAGGTCCTTTTCAGTCCTAAAATTCTATTATTATATGAAAATACATTTTCCTCCTTTATTCTCTTATGCTGAGACTGTGTGTGCTCTTATTAATGGCACCTTAAAAAAAAGCCCTCCCTTATTATGGCCTAAAAATATATTAACATAATAGCAAGCACTTATATACAAACTTCACAGTTATACAGATATAGCAGATGGCTGGCTGGGTACCATATTTCTTCATAAAGATTTGAGATGAGCATTTTGTCTTTTTCTCTAGCCTTGTATGTAATGACCTCTAAATAGCATCTACTGAGATCTTCTTTCACCCCTCCCATCATATTAAATAAAACATTTTTATTTCTCCATTGCTTTTTCTATCCTCTGGCACCACCTACTTTCTTTATATTAGAATTTGATTTGCTTTCACATTGTGGTCAGAGGAAGAGGTGTTGTTACCACGTTCTACTTCCCAGGTGTGGAAGCAGACATCACTTTATCAGAAGAGAGGCAGGGAGGATTCACTGAGCTGTGTGCGGGACCTGTGTTCAGCGGCAACACGGTGCAGCTTTCCTCAGTACCCACTGCCTAGCCAGCATCAGAGAGCTTTATCTCTGACAGCACAGGCAAGATGTGCTGATGTATTGCCCGCTGTTTACCTGCCTTAGTTAGTTTCATGGGACTAAAGAGTGATTCATAAGTGATTAAACCATTATAACCAGCTATACGTGGAACATTTTAGTGGGTTGCAGATGTGTCCATTGTTTCTTCAGATTGGCTACAGCTACATTATTTTAAATTATTCTTTGGGGGCATCCTTACTGAGGCTTGAAGGAGGAACTCATGTTTTTAGTATGCTAGTAGCTTCCTTTTGATGATCTGCTTCAAATTCCCCAACAGATACCTCATCTATGACCCTCTTCAGGGGCTGCTAAGTAATAACATTTATCTTACATAAGTGTTGTTTTTTTAAACTCAGGTTACAAACCTTTCTGATCAACTTCATCAGTTTGCAATAAACATCACCATGCCATATCCCGGAGGAATTTTGCACTAGAGAAAATTCAGAGTGTGTGTGTGTGGGGGGGGGGGGGGCGGAGAAAGTAAAACATCAAGCTCATTTTGTGCCAAAAAGAGAAAAAAAGGGAGGAGAAAAAAGCAATAGGTGTAAAAAAGAACAAAGAAATAATAAAATACAGTTAATGAATCCTAAGTTGATCACCTGTCTCATAGGTCCCTAAATTTCTGACCTAGAAAGCAGATAACACTGTTTATGGAACCACTGACAGCAACAACAAAAAAAAACCAGAAAAAAAATGCCACTTACTCATCAGCATTCTCACTCAGTGTGTTGCCTGTGACAAGCGACACTCTTGAAAAGATGGTCCTTTGAAGCTTGTCTTGCCAGAAAGCTATTTCTGGTATAGCTACACAACTGGGGAGACTATGGTTAAGTCTTCCAGGCATGTTCCTAGGTCCGTCATCTGGCATTGGCAGCTGCTGATCAGATCACCAAACTCACCGGCACACATGGGGTGAACACACGGAGAGGACTGGAATGGTAGTATTTCTCAGACTCAAGGGGGCACAGTGTTGATCTGTGTAATCCACAAAATATGTATGTGGATTTAACGAAGGTTAAAGAGTGAATCCACTGTTCTTAGGTGTCATTGACTGCAATTTAAAAATAGGCTCCGTAGGATTTAAGTATGTGTACGTTTCGTATGGGAAGTTTCCTAGTAAAAGGTCTAAGAAAAACTGAAATCAGTACTGCAGTGCTACATTATCTAGGAGTTTGAGATTGGGAGGCTGACTATCTACTTCAAGCTTTTCCTCTTGGTTAGCAACTTAGGAGGTACCTCAGAATCTCAGATCTGCTCTGTGGCAAAAGCAGCACTTCTAATGAACAGCAGAAAAGCAAAGAAAACACCTTTTCCTCTTTGTAATGAATCATTTTGTTTTTTTCTATAGATTGCATGTGGCGTTTGAAGCAGAGTGAGCAAGGCTGCCAATACTGCGAGCTAATGCTTCAGCACCTTTCATTTTTCACTCTGAGCAGGAAACCTCTTCTTAAACTTGTTCATTTTACAGAGGGAAAATCGAAGCCAGTGGCATATTGTCAGAGCTGCTTTATTGTCATCACTTACAAAGGTCACTGGAATTAATTGACTTCTTCTTACATATTGTAAAGTGACTCATATTTTGACACATTTATGGGAAAGTGGCAAGATCTAAGTGGCTGGTTATTGTCTTTTGGTTTTAGCTCATATCATCAACTAGGAAACCAGTAATAACTCTGAAATCACAGTTGTAAAAAAAAAAAAATACCTTGCAGTTGGAAAGAAGCTGACCCCATTAACTATTTGGTTAGTTAAACTAAAGGAAGGGAAGAGAGAGCTCCAGAAGATGAAAAGCAAATACTAGGTTTGTTTTAATGTCTGTACAGGACCCATTAAAGGAGGTAGTGAATGTTTTCACGAACATCCTCAATTGATGTTGTCTGTTTGAACGCATATTCTAAGTAGCTGGCTTCCTTTGACAAGACTGGAAGTATAAATTAACCCACACTGTATTCCATGAATCATCGGTACATGGATGCTCATAGTTTACTGAGAGTAATTCTGTCTCAAAGGCATTGCTTCTGAAACTAAAGAGAAATGTAGGATATGAGTAATACATATATAGTGCCAGGGCACACTATCTCCTAGGTAGATATTTTGAATGCTGACTTCTTGCCTTTTAATTCCTCACATCATCCCCTTTGCACCAAATTAGGAAGGTTCCACTCATATTCATAGCCTGCCCTCACTAAAATTAGAGGCATGGAAACAAGGACATACTGTTAAAAATAAATAAACTAGAAGCAAATCAAACCACATAAGCTTAATAAGAGCCAAGGGAATAGAATAGTCGGTCTGAACAAAAATCTTCAGAAATAGCGAACGTACTTTACAGCCACCCCGCTGTGATTCTGTTAATTACCAAAGAAGATTAGAACTCTTCTGGTTCATGGGATCCTTTTACCACGCGTGTGTCAGTTGCAGCTGCATTAGCAATCAGGCATTGCCCTGTCCCTTCAGAGCGGCGGGAGGATGTTATTAAAGGGAAGTCATTTACCCCGATCCGTAAGATGTAGCCTGGCGGAAATTCAATAACTGTTTGTGATATGCTCATTCCGCCACTCCGCTTAATGGTTCTTAGCTCCTGACATACAGCACCATTTGCCTCAATCTCTGTCCACTGGGTGAAAAGGGAGGAAGATGCCCCCTTTGGGGGGGGGTTGGTTTCAAAATACAGAATGATGTGTGGTCCGCTTTTCATGACAAATAATGTGAAGAAAAACGAAAATTCTGCTCTTCTCTTTCCTCTCTTCACTCCCACTGTCCCCTCTCCCTCCCTCCTCTCCCTCCTCTCCTCCTCTCCCTCCTCTCCCCAGCACTGCTTTTTCTCTCCCACTCACATCCTCTGATGGGCGTTCAAGCTAGTAAAATGCATGTTGGAGAATCCCACAAACACAGCTAAGCATCCCCAAAGCCAGAGGGCTTTTGCATTTGAATTTCCCCTCAAAAGTAAAAACGGAAAGCAGAATGCTTTAGATTTCAGACAAGAAGAAAACATCCACGGAGAATTTAGGTTTGAGAGGAAAACAACCACCACCACAACCACCACCGCCACCAGCATCAACTACAGAGGAGACCGAGCCCTATTTCCATTGAAATGTATATTTTGAACTTACCTTGCAAAAGCAGTTTCGGGGATACACCGCCCTCCGTGTCCCTCCCTGCTGGGGTCCTCAGTCCTCTTAGCAGCGATAATCACATGGTGGTGTTCTCGCCCGGGTGTAAATAGGTGCATGTGTGTGTGCGTGCGATAAAGTATGCACAAACATGTGCTGTAGCTGGGCACACATGCGAGCGAGCTTGTGTCTGTCTGTTCTAAGCTCTCAAGGGAGGCAGGAGGCTGCGGCTGGGGTTCCTTCTCTCCTCGGGAACTCTCTCTCCGCCGGCAGGCTGGGGCTCTCAGTGCCGGGGACGGAGGCGCTGGGAGCTGGCTTTCTCTCGCCTCGTTTCCATGGTGGTTAGTGGTGCATCGCTCACCCGATCAGTTGTCACACTGACATGGTGCTGCCTGCTTGGCGGTCATTAATAACCGAACACCCTCCGCTCCCCAGAGAGGAGCCAATCGCCTCGGACTGCCAGGATGTAGCACTCGCAGCTGCTCCCGTCTGGTTGGCTGAAGCAACCTGTCTGTTCTGTGACACTGCTGCTTAGGATACAAATAAATGAACCAGGCTTGCATATTTTCCTAGGTACCATTCCCTTCCTGCCTGCCTTTCATCCTGCCTTCCTTCCCTCCTGCCTCCTTCCTCCCTTCCCTCCTTCCCCTTTTACTTCCTCCCCCTCTCCTTCCTCCTCCCATCCTTCCTCCGTCCTTTCTTCCTTTTTTAATTTTTATTTATTTATTTTTATTTTGGAGAGGAAGAAATTTTTGACAAGTTTTCCCATTTTCAGGTTATCATCCATCTAGAGAAACTGTGTTTTCTCTCTGGAAATAGCAGGCGTGCTACAAATAAGGATTTCCCAAATATTAAAAACACCTGGGAGGAACGCAGCGGCTCTGACTCCTCTGTAAAGTTCACCAGTGGCTCTATTATTTAAGAAGAGTAGCTCGAAACTGTTTTGAGTGGCATTTGGTTTTCTGTTGGATGCTACTTAATTTAGTGCATGTGCTTACTGTTCAATAGCATTTTTCTTTTTCAGCACTGACCTTTCTTATCTGGATTGACTACATTTTAATTTTTTCTCTATAATTCACAACACTGGCATATGGGAGGGTATTTAAAAATAAGTACTTCCAATTATATTCATTTCTTTATATCTGATGCAATTAATCTGACAGCCGTAGATGAATGGGTACACGTGTCAAGGTGTTCGTGTGGGTATTTCTATGTGTATGTTTAGAAGGTATGTTTTACTATTCTTGGGAAAGTATTTCAACTCTAATCAATTAAATCCTCAAGAAAACAATTTCCCTTTTTTCTTAAATTTACTAGTTCTGAATTATATTCACCCGGAAAATATGACACATATACCACATATGTAAGACACCCAATTATCAGAAATTTAGAAAAGAAACACAGAAAAGTATAGCAGTGTATATTACTGAAAGAACACCTATAAGAAAGTAGACAGCAATTTTAAAAATGCATGTTTGACAACCTTAATTAGAATCCTAGGGGAACATCTTGTTGAGAGGACTGGAACATGAGGATTAATTTATCAACAGGTCAAAAACAGGCTAGATTCATGGCTCCAAGCCCTAGTTTTGAAAGACTACCCTCTAGTGGAGTAAAAAAAAAATGACATTTTCATGTTAATAAATTTAGTTTGTGTGTGTGTGTGTGGTGGGGGGAGCTTCACATCTAATTGTTGCTTAAATGCTTATCAAAATGACAAAGACCAATAGTTTTAAGTTATTATAATCATAATGGCAGGAAATTTATTAAAATATTAGCTTTGTTTCTAACCAGTAAATATTCTCACTCTAGGTTTTTTTTTTTAAAGTTCTCAAGTGAAAAAAAAATAAAGTTCTCAAGTGCTTTATTTTATCCTTCTCTAAAACTTTATTTAAATGGCTGTTAATCTTTTGAATAAAAATGAGTTTGAGAAAAAAGTTGTTTCTTGCTTAACCTACTAACGCTAATTTCAGAAAATCTATTGTAAGACTTTATTCTTTACTGGCTATATAATGTTTACTCTGTAAGCATTGCTCTGGGAATGGTACGGATTATGGCCAAGTATTGGGGATGTTGAGATGTAGTGTGTCTGCATATGATTTAATGTACTTTTAATAATAGTAATAATCATCCTCATTACTCCTCCCTCGATTTTACCTTCTCCAGGTTTTACTCCTTAAATTTTCCATAGCATTTCAATATCTGCAGGATTATATTTCTGCATGCTGGAAGAATTATAATAAAATTGTGATAATTATTTTAAAAAAGGAATTTTAGTTTTCTACTCTTGATTCCTTAAGCATTTCATTTTGGTTGATTGGTATTGACTGTATAATAGACAAATTCAGTAATCAAACCAATTATAATGCACTTCCATAATGAAAGTAAGTGGTGATAATCAGATACATGATTAAACCACTTTCTTGGTTTATAAATGAAACCAGCAATCATACCTAATATTTTAAATTTCAGTCTCTTTAAAGTTTAATTTAGTGAAAGTTGGATATTTTTAAATGCTACCTGATGCTATATCATAGGAAATTGTTTTCACTCATTGTTTAGCTGTTCTTTAGCATATGGGGATGAAATTGCTTTTCTTGCAATTGTCCTTTTGCTGTAGGCACATGACAAATTTAAAAGCTTTCATTTTTATAAATTTCATATCATGGAACATTAGAAGTAAGTGAGATTTTAATGTATGAGAGAAAAATAGCTCTGGCTTTGGATGAAAAGGGAGAAGAGTTTGTTCTTTGTAGTTTCCTTCTTGCTACAAGAGCATAGGAAGCTTTAGTAGAATCACTATATGTTCAGGTGACTGTTAGTTATCAGCCATTTACTGGAAATATGAAAGGTAGCTCTCCAAAAAAAACAAAAAACATGTTAAGAACTTATTTAGTTATCACATCTATATAATGAAGTGCCATATAAAAACATTAAACCGTGATTGAGTAAGGATTTCAGTGATTGTGAATTTTTGAATTAGTACAATTGTGAATAGTCATCAAATGAGAACCAGAGAATCTTTAGACTCGAATGCCCTGAGTCTTAGAGAGGTCAGGAGACTTGTCTAAGTGCATACAGCTGGTCAGAGAGAGCAAGAGTAGACCCCACCATCTTCCAAGCTTTTCCTACCATTTCACCCTCTCATCTACTGGATAATCGATAGATCTCCACTTTCTCTTCTTTTTCCATTCCATTTATTACTTTTTTTTTTTCCTTTCTTTCTCAAGATTTTATCTTTAGAACCCAGTAAAACTTCAGAACAGTTTCACATTCCAAATATACTGTGTTACATGGACGTATGTGTCAGCAGCCTCATAGTAAATATCTGCAGGGTTCCTGCATGAGTGTTCAGTTCTAATGAAAATGTAGATTTTAAAAATGATTTTAAAAGATAAATGAATAATTACAGCCCAAAACTATGTTGAAAAAGTTCTGCCTTCATCATCAAGTAAACCTTAGGGGTACAATAAGTATTAATTCGTTGATTTAATGGTTGAATTTCCATTAATTAATTTAATGGTTTCTCACTATTTCATGGAATCCTGGACATTGGTTTCCTGTTAACTTTCGTGGGAGAAGTGGTCTGGGTAGTGGGTCAGAGTGCACTTTCTGGGAATAGACTACCTAGGTTTGAGTGCTTACCTTGCTACTTCCTAGTCCTGTGACCCTGAACAAGAACTTAACATCTCTGCATCTCAGTTTCCTCCTAGGATTGTTACAAGGGTTACTGCAGTTAATATGTGTAAAAGCTTAGAAAGGTACTTGGGATATAGTAAGCTTTTATGGATGTTTGGCAACAACATTATTGCTGTTATTGTCACTGTCACTCTTGTCATCGTCACTCCCATCATCATCATCTGTTCCAGTTCTCTGCTTTGTTTGGAATGGCCTTTCTACCTTTTACTCCAGGTGCCTGCCTCTACTTAGGCCTAAACAAGTGAGCACAGTGCAAATGCTACTTCCCCTGTGAAGCCTCTTCTGACCCTCTAGCAAGATAGGATCTCTCATTAGACCCACAATCACGATCTTTATCCCCACCAACCATTTATCACTTTTTAAAATGTGTTACGATTGTTTCTATAATTTGACTCATTTCCCTTTTTAGGTTATAGAGTAGAGTCTCCTGGAAGGAGTCTATATTTTATTCATCTTTAAGCTCCATAGCTTACATAATCATGGAGACAACAATATTTGTTGAGTACAACTATGTATGTTTTAAAAGTTATTGAATCTCCACAACATACAATAGATGTTTTATCCCCATTCGACAATGTAGAAACATTGGCTCAGAGAAGTTAGGTTTCTTGCCCAATGTACCAAAACTATGAAATAACGGGGCAAAAATTTGAACTCAGTTCTGTCTGCCTACAGAGCCAAGGCTCTTTTACTGAACAAGCCACTCAATATTCATTTGTAAAATAAGTGAATGCTTGATTGATGACTGAGCCAACCAATTCAATATAGTCAGCAACAAGGGAGGCTAAAAATAAAATACGAGTTTTTAAAAGGAATGAATTTTGGCATTAGGTAGTAGATGTTTTTATATAGTTATGGTTGTTCGGTGTAATGAAAGAATTTACTAGCTCTGTTTGAGAAATGGAGCTCTGAAGAAATGCAGTGTCTGGTTGGAAAGTGAGTTGATATGCTTAGAAAGCTAAATAACTATTCATGGGCCACTGATGAGGAGGGGCTGACATTGTACTAGGAAGATCTTCAGTGACATGATCCTTTGTAGTCTAATTCTGATAGCAGATTAGGTCTTAATTAAGTTAGAAGTATGATGTAAGGGGAGTGGCACTGGCTGTTTGTTAGAATGTTGAACAAAAGCACGTTGGATCAGAGAGTTTTCTTTTCTCAAAAGGGTTTGAGAAAGTAGAAATGGAAACAAAAGTGTATTCCCCTTTAACTATAGGTCTTATTTTTTATATTTTTTAGTGTGACTTCCTTCTTATAGTAAAATATATAATGTAAAATTTGCCATTTTAACAGTTTTTAAGCTTGTACTTCAATAGCAGAAGTACATTCACATGGTTTACAGCCTCATTATGGCTTTTTGTGAACATTTAGAATCAG